TTGATAATGTAGCATTTTTTATATTTCTTGACTTCCAGTTAAAATCTCTAAGCAGTTTACAATGAATAATATGCATTGTAACAAATTCTAAATGTGGTTTACACTCTAAATGTAATTCAATATTAGGCCATATATTTTTTATTATAGAATTTTTAATAGTTAATCCTATATTTAATTTATAAGGTTTCTTTAAAACAATTTTAGATAATATTTTTTGACATTTTGAAATATAGTCTGTAAAGTTATCTGTTGGAACTTTTAAACTAAAATTACCAGATTTTGACCCATATGCTTTACAAAATATTAAATAGTCTTTATCATTAAAATCAACTGGTGTAGACGTTAACATGTAATCCTGACATTTAATACAATTAAACTTCTCAATACATTTTTTACCTAAATAGCCACTAAAATATCTATCAGAACACACAGAAAGATTCACAAGAGGAACTTCAATATAATTGTCTTCATGGATCGAATAAGTTAAAGATGAACTAGCTGAATTATCTTCATCATCATGATCATCATGATCATCATAATCATCATTATTTTCCCATAAATTTATAATTGAATTAAGTGCTAAAACATTATCGTTATCAGCTTCACAATTTGATGATGTTGAAGGTTTCATAAGCTGCATTTTTGTCATTATTTTGAAAGCAGTTCTAAATGTCCTAGCTGTTGGGTTGTTATTATATCCACCTTTTTGCCGGAAAACTGAAAATGTGTTTTCAATTGCATCTTGATTGAAGCGAGCAGTTAATAAATAGTTGAATCCCATAATCTTTTGTTCTTTATAAATTTCCAATATTGCATTTATTGTCCACAATAAACCATCAAATGTATATGGTCTACCATGCCCTTTGCATTTTTTCAAATATTTACACCACTGCTTAGCTTCTTTTAAAACTAATTGTGTTAAGGGTCTTTCTTCAGAAATGGCACATTTATAAGGATTGGAACTATATAGATTTTGACTATTTAAACAATCAAAGAGATTGTTAATTTCTTTTACAAATTCAGCAGTATGAGTAGCAGTTGATGATTTTAATTCATTAGTATTAATACAGGTACGCATAGCAACATACATTGATTTACTGAATACTTGTAAGGCTAATTTACAAGACATTTTTTTAAATGGGCCAGGATTAATGTGACAGTCTGTAATTTTTAAAAGAGTGCGAGAAGTTGGACTATGTTTATCAATTTCATATGTTTTTTTTATATCTTGAAAAGAAACTCTATTATTTTTAAATATAATGTCACTTGATAAAAGGTTATTTCTTATATTTTTAATAAGATGTGGAACATCATACACAGCAAATATTTTATTACCATTCACTTGAATGGATGGATTTTCTTTTGTAAAACCTAGTTTTTTTAATGCTGACCTATTATTAGGTCCTTGATCACATATAATTGCTATAACATGTAGTTTACAACTTATTAACAAATTAATCTGTTCTAAAATTAATTCTGACAATGTTGTAGCTTTCATTGAAGTAGATGAGAGAAAATAAGAAATTGGCAATTTCCATGGTGAATATATTCCTCTTATCATAAATACCATTGCTTGACTTGCCATTGCACTACTTCTACCAAAAGTACCCAAGTCTTCATATCCTTCTACAACATCTAAGACTTTTGAGTATTCCAGGAACCGTTTAATTTTCATTTCGTCAAATATTAAAGTGCAAAATGTTTCTTCGTGAGTCATTGAATCAACTTTCATTTTGATTTGTTTAAATAAACCAGAATTAAAACCTGGCTTGAATTTGGAAGCTCCAATCCAACGTTTGATTGTGGCTAATCCTGGTAGATTGATTTGTAATGATCTTAAATATTTATACGCGGATGGAGATTTATAATAGAATCTTAAAGAAAAGTTTTTTTCTTGATTAGTCCATGGTTTTTTACATATACTACGACGGATTTGCATTTTTACTAATGTTTGAGAATCAATTGATGGAAAATTTAAAGAATTTATAACATTTTTAGTTTTAAATAAAATACGGGCATTTTTTAAATTTTTCCTAAGCTTTGTTATTGTTGAATTTTTATACATAATTAATTTCTGTTTATATTCCATTTTCATTTTCATTTTTTTCATATCAATTGCTTGTTTTTCTATAGTTTTATTTAGCAATTTTATTTTTTCATTTAATACATTTGAAGACTCAGGCATATTAAGTGTACTATCTAACCATAATTGAGTTTTTGGAGTGATAATTGGTGTATTGTCATTTGATCCTATTGTGAATTGTGTAGTTTTTGTTGGTGTTGATAAATAGATAGAGTTTGGTGAATCAAAGTTAAGCCGTTGAGAATATTTACTATTATAATTTGGTGAAGAATTTGAATTGAGATACTTTTGTTTTTTAATTTTTCTTTTAGGTGTTGATGGTGATTCTGAATTATGTTTTATAATATTAGAAGTTGAAGGTATATTAATGTCATTTACTTTACTATGCTGTGTATTGTAATATAATTTACTTGGGGAACGCACATGAAAAGGTACAATAGCTTCATAAAGTGCAGGTACTGCTGTTCGCTTTAAAAGTCTTTTAGAATTGTTTGCATAATCATCAGGAGAAAAATGATCAGAACAGATTTTTTTCTTTCTTAAATCCTCAATTTCTAAATGAATAAGATCAATATTTCCTACAAAAATAAATTTTAAAATAACAAAATAAAATTTGGTCTCTGTATAATGAGCATAGTAATTAAATTCTTATTATTTTTTTTTCATGTTGTATGTTGAAATGTTATTTTAGTTATAAGAGGAATATATTCAACACGGAAATTAACAATTTCTCATTTTCTCTTATCTATCTTAATGAAAGTTACAGCATTATCAGAGTTAATTTTAGAACAAATTAATCTGTTAATAAGATGTAAATTACATGTCATAGCAACTATATATGATCAAGGACATAATAATAGATCAGCATTAAAAAAACTAGGTTTTACAAAAGAAAATCCATCCATTCAAGTGAATGGTAATAAGATATTTGTTGTGTATGATGTTCCACATCTTATTAAAAATATAAGAAATAATCTTTAAACAAGTGATATTATGCATAAAAATAATAGAGTTTCTTTACAGATAGGTATTAAAAAAACGTATGAAATTAATAAATGTAGTTCAACTTCTCAAACTCTTTCAAATTTTTTAATGCTTGGTTAGTATTTGGTTTTCAATATATACCTACCTATATTTTTTCAAATTAACAAACAATTCAACAAAAGTTTATACATTTTTATTTTAGGAATCATTAAATTTACTATTTTTAATTTTTAATGACCAAATAAGGTAAAATAAATAATTTTATTAATGTACATTTAAAATAAATTTTAAGAATATTTTTATACTTTATAATGCATAATTGCATACATATATTTCAATTTTTTTGAATATAAATATCTGCTCCTATTAATTATGAACATAGTATGGAAAAAAGAATGAACATACAGTCGATTCTCAATAATTCAATGTTGGCGGGACTATTGTAAAATTTTGAATCACCAAGAGTTTGAATTGCTGAGTAGTTCAAAATATTGAAAGAGCAAAAAAGAAAAAATTAAAATTACTAAGATTTAAGAAAAAATTTTTTTTTTTTTATTATTGTACCTACATACATAATTATTAAATATTTCAGAAAGTTATGCAGTATTAGAGTTATTTATTGTTTTTAAAATATAAATTAAAATTTTTATTATTAACAGACGATTAAAAAATACAAAGCTTACAATAAAGTTTTTACAATAATAATTCTATAGTTAGGTATCAAAAATAAACTAAATTTCTACATAGCTGTATAGTAAATTATCAATAAAAAAATTATAAGAAATACATTTGGAGAATATACTTTGAAATTCGGATTACCGAACGTTAAAAAGATGAAATTTCGAATTGTCTCGTGTTAGTAGCCAATTTTCTAAAAATTTAATTTCGAATTACCGAGTGTACATAAATGAATGATTTTTATTCGAATTACCAAAAGATTTTCAAGTGAGCATTTGATTTAAATTATCGAAAGTTTCTAATTAATGAGAGTCGACTGTACCTGAATTTTTAATCCATATTCTTGATCTTTCAAGATCCTTAGGAAATCCAAACAAACTCAAATTTGGATTATTTCTTGGACTATTTCCACATAAATAATACACACATTTATTCCCGCGAGACATAGTTAATTTATAATAAATATGCTTAAATAATAAATACCTAATACGTACATTTACATTTAAACAAAAATTTACTATTTATTATTTAATATTAACAAATAACAAAACATTAGTTAAAATATAAATAAAAAAATAAATAATCTTAATTGATAAGATATTTATAGAAATAATACTAATAGAGAATCTCAGTTGCAAAGAATATAAGTTATTAAAATTTAAACGCACTCTGTTGTCAGAAATCCTATACTAAAATATCTCAAATCCAAATTTATTCAGTAACTATTTCCAATTATTCATTCAGCATGGACTATCTATGTATGTTTAATCAATGGTGTAGTTTAATTGCGTATTAACTTATAATTAAAATATGGTAAAGTTTAATGCAGAGTTAAAAAAATTTAAATAATTTACTTTTTACCAAGTTAAAAAAAATAATGCCACAGAAACATGCGAAAATAAGTGATAGAAAAATAAAAATAAATTATTATATTTTCTAATAATATAAATTTTATAGTATAAATATATTTTATTCATTATATTTTGAATAATTTACTAATATTATATAAAATACGAAGACCATTTTATATAATGCTCGGTCATTGTACAAAACGCCCAAATTGTTTACTTTGCCCATAACACTGACATGGTCAATTAAAAATTAAAGGTTTCAACAGTTTCTTATTCCATTTCTTGCAAATATGATACAGTAATAGTTAGTTTTACGGTAGAATCTTACAAATTGAATAATAGATAAAAAAAGAATTGAAACTAAAGACAAGTCAAAAAATTGTTAAATATATATTTATATTGTCTCTTAGTCACTAACAGTATTGAAACAAAAATATTACTTTTACAGTTTAATTTCTTTTAAAAAAAAAATTAGTTTTTCATTCAAGTTATGCACTGTTTCTGTATCATACAATCATTCAGAGTCGGTCTTGTGCATACCCAATATATAAGTTCACCAGCTTGCTAGAACCTTGAACTTGTCCACCAATAGAGCAATTTATTATTATTGTTCTATGAATAATATATCCTGTAAAACAAGTTTAAAATATTATGTATTTATTATTATTTGAGTGTTCATAGTTGGTAATATAGGATTTTCTCCAGGCCTGAATTGTGGAGAACATCCACTAAACATACAAAGGGCAAGCAGCAAAGTAGCTATCAACTTAAAATTTTATTGAGTCAATGGTGCTTTTTGATTTTTAAATATGAAAATATAGTTTAAGATAAGCTGCCAAACTATTCACTAAATGTTAATCTTACTAGTGATGATAGGATAAAGCATTTTCAATTATTTTTACTAAATATTGTTTAATAATCAAAATTTTTCAACACAATAAAATAATAAGTATAAATATTTTAAAATCATTATAGTATATTATTAAATCTTTATACATCATAAAAAAAATTCAAGGACTTTATAAAATAAATAACCAAATAAAAGTAATACCAACCTTTTAAAAAATGTTAATAGCGTAGATTTTTGGTAACAATAACCATTCTTTCAATTCAATATTTCCTAAAAAAAAAGATTTGTAAGTACCTACTTATATAAACTTTAATACATTAATAACAGTAAATTTATCCTTAAGAATGAATTAAAAAAATTAATTTACTTCTTGGATTCTTCAAGATATTTTTCAGTTCTGATTGAACTTGCATTTGTTCGATAAGACTGGGCTGTCAGATAAATTTTGCAAATTTTTCAAGCGATACTGAAATTAATTAATAATGTTAACTACACCAACTAATAAAAAAAAAACATGATTTATACAATATTAAATAATAATAATCCATGTTTAAAAAATGATTTTACATTAGATAAATTAAAAAATACCTATTTGTAAACCAAACAGAACAAACCATAATTTATATGTAAGCTGATCAATATTTTCTATATACTCAACTTTATAAAAAAGATAAAAATAAAACATACATGCTGGTAAAATAAACAAAACAAAAATTATACATAATTGAGAATCTGAGTTAACACACATGAAAACATACATACTTACAAAACATTGAAGATGTTCCGTTTGCTGAAGACATTCATCAACACAGTTTGACAGCTATTCGACAATATTATAGACCAAATTTCTTTCAATTTTATATTTTCAGCAGCAAATAATTATCACATTACTCCATTTTGACATTGTAAGACATATTTAACTCAATGTTTTAAGTTTAAGCCGAGCACTCCATACAACCAGATGATTTTTCATACATTTAATAGAGTAAAATAAAACAACCTATTCATTGACAGCAGACAAAATAGTCTTTACCAAAGATGATAACAAATATAATTAAATCATTGTTCATTCAGTCAGACTAGAAATAATTAAATACAAGGAGGATTATGGCAATCATGCTTTATAATATACTTCATACCCTATAAACATGTTTTTTTTTTCAATTAATAATTATTAATATTCTTAGTAAAATTAATTAACTATTGCTATAATTGAAGTATGAGGTATCCTAAAAAACAAAATGAAATACAATACTTTAATTCAAAAGTTATATTATTGATTTTTATTTGTGTAATTAATTTTATTAGAATAACTATTATAATGCAGTATTATTCAAAGATAAAACCATAATATTATCAATTTGTTTTATTCAAATGTAAACACAAGTCAAACATTAGAAATAAAACTAATTGACAAAATAAACAATCAAAATTATTATTTGAGAAGTTGATTATATTTTATGCATACATGTTATTATAGAAAACATTGATTAAGTCAACTATTGAGAAAAACAAATATATATATATGACATTGTATTTCAAAACTCAATTTACTTTTCAAATAGGTTAGGTTAAAATATTTGCAGGATTGTATAATATAACATAATTTTATTGAAAAACTAGTAGCAAATTTAGATATAAGAAAATAACAAATATTTTTTAAGTTTCAGGAAACTAAGAAGTACATGATACGTTGACTATTTAAAAAAAAAAACTAGCTGGTAGTACAATTAATAATTTTGCAAGGTAAAAAAATTAAGTGTATTGTGGAAATTGAAAGCCATAATACCATCCATAATTTCATTACGTAACAAAAAAAAATCCAGTCTTAAGTATATACAGTAGACATACAGACACATAATAAAACTAATTTTGAAAGTATAACCATTATTTTTTCAATATATAATATTGTATAAACATATGTTCAAGCCACAAAGTAAAACACAATTTTTACATTTTAATAATGAGATAGTATAATTTCTAATCAAATAATGTCATACAAATTACATTCATACCAATCATAAGTTCATTCGTTCCACCAAAGCATAATAATTTAAATATGTATTCTATTAATATTAATATAACTCTTAAATTCACAATTGTAAAGCAGTAACAATTAATAAATTTATATATAAAGAATACATTAGTATGTAAATATATTTAATACATACTCAGATGCATAAAAAAATGATTTATTTACCTATTAATTTGCATGTATATCTACTTTTTAAATTTTAATTAACAAGTTAATTTTTCATTAAATAAGATTTTTTTTTGTATGTCACATTCAACATCAAAACAAGTTGTAATTTAAAAAAAAAACATTATTCCAACAATAAAGTGGAATAATCAGAACAACATTTAAACTACAAAACATAAGCCAGTTTATTTTTTACTTTTAATCATATATGTACAATGTACATATCCAAAAGTTAGAAGAACTAGTAAGGTTTTAGGACAGTAAATTGTTATTGATATTATTCATTTAACTTTATATTTTATTACCATTATCTCTTTTTAGCGATTGCCTGATGAATTGTAATCATTATTAGAACGTTTCCTGTTATTATAGTTATTTCGTTGAGAGTTGAGACCATGTTGAGACCATTGATTGTTTCCACTAGGAGGTGGTGGTGGTGGCATCATACGACCATTAGCCAGACTCCATCCAGCAGCTTGTGTTAATGCAGCAGCAACAATAGCCGGGCTTAAAGGCAACATTGGGTTATAGCTGTCTTGACCGTTAATCCCCAATGACTGTAGATTAGGCATGTCTACACTCCCCCGATTATCATGTTGTGAGTGATACCAATTTCGATAACTGTCATTATGGCGATTATTAGAACGCTCCCAGGGTTCACTAGGTGGGGGAGTTTGATGACGATTTTTGGGAACTTGCGGTTTTGGGGCAGCTTCAGATACACGGACTGAAACGTCTTTAACAATATGATCTTCACCACATAAACTAGCAGCTACTTCAGGATCAAGGAAAGTCACAAATGCAAATCCACGGAATGGATTTTTGGGTACAAAAACATTGATGACTTCTCCAAACTTGCTGAAATACTCACGAATATCATCAGCTGTTAAATCTTCTGTCACACGACCCACAAAAACTTTTCCAGAAAGCTCTGAACCATTACCTTCCTAAATTACACAAATAATTATGTTTATACAAAGTTAATTTAATATACTAAATATATTTTACCTTAGATTTTGGAACCTTAACTTCACAATTACGACCATCAATCTTGTGACGCTGAGAAAGAACTCTAACTTGTGATTCTAAGTTTGTATACCTTAAAAATCCATATCCTCGAGATTGTCCATTTTTGTCTCTCTTTATCTATTAATAATAATAATAATAATAGCCATAATAGATAAATGTTATTAGCTATAATGCTATATGTATAATACTGTTCAAGAATTATATCTGATTTTCTTTTATACATTATTACCAACTATGTGGGGTTAGCCATCAATGTCATTCACTTCAGCCTTACAGCTCAATTTCTTACTTCACCTTTGCTTACATTATTTTCATGTAATTTTTAATTTTATTTATTAATCTCTACTTTGATAACTTTTTTTAAATTTATATATTATTTTATCCTTCCTTATAACTTCATATAACCTAACTTAGCATTCTAATATCTGCAACACTGCCTGCTCTGACTCTATAATCTGTTTTATTATCCACAATCCAACATTTCAATCAGCAATCTATAGAAGTTTAAGTCATGCTGACTGATCTTATAAGTATTAATTTATTTCAAAATCATCATCTTCTCATATTAAATACTCACGCTTTTCTCCATTTCATTCATCCACTCATAATTATATTTCTTACATAATTTTATAAGCCACTATTTTTTTTAATCACTGATTCTAAGTATTTGAATCTATTCTTCTCAAATACTGCATTATTTCATCTTTATCACATGCATTTCCTCCAAAATCATTCGCTATTATTTCTGTTTTACTAATATTTATTTTTAGTCCCTTGTTTTCCAATTCTATTATTCACCTTATCTAAATCAATAAACACTATAAATAAATGTATTTTATGCTTTTTGTACTATTAAATAAATGTATAATTTTAAAATTTTAAAACAAAATAGCTTTTTCTTTCTTCAAAAAGTCATGCGTATATTTGTTTTTTAGAACATTTAATTATTACCTGTAACATAAGTAGTTCTCCAAATTGACCAAAGTATTCTTTCAATTTTTGTTCATCATAAGTGTATGGTATATTTAAAACAACTAAATCTGAACATTTTAATTTTGTTTCTAATTTCTTGGTTTTAGCTGTTGGATTTTCTACACTATCATCAATCTTTCTCTTATTCTCCACTAAAATCATCAACATAAAATATAAATTTTAAAAAGGTATATAAATACTGGTATACAATAATATATTTGATGTAATAAAATATTACGTATTTTCACACAATTTAAAATAAATAACAAAAATGATTGATATTATACAAATGTATTATTCTACACCAATGATGCATTTACTTTATAAATAGGTACTAAAACAGATAATTCTAATATAATAATCAGATTTAAAAAAATTATTTAATTAATATTAATCAAATGTTTTCCAACCCTAAATACACAAACATTCCATTATTTAGAGTTGGCCAATGATATTAATGATTATTAATCATTCACATTTTTGTCGATATCCAATACTCAAATAGAATTTTTAAAATAAATAATAAATACATAAACAGTATAAAAACCCGATACTATACAAACACCTATCTACTACATTATATTTTAATTTTAAACTAACCAGTAATTTATAGAGGTAGTTATAATATTTTATTATTATTCTTAATATTATTTTAAGTAGTAAAAATCCTTTCATATACAACTAGGTGATAATATCAATAAACATTAATAAAGTTGTATTTTTTAAAATATGAATATTTTAAATTTTCTTAAAAATGTTAGATAAAAAATTTAAAAATCATTAATAGATTGGATTTTTGTTATTCTGTTATTAAAAATATAATTTGTATTTATTATAAAACTGTACAAGGTATTAAGGTATACAGTTGTATATACAATTTGTTTTATTAATATATAAATCTATTATTATTAAGTTTTTGCAAAACTTATGTACTACTTAAAGTAAAAATTTTAAATATAGCTATAACTCATTAAATATAAAAAATATTGAATATATTTTCTAAAAAAATAAATAAAAATAATCTACTCAACTATACAGTAGTGCTTATATTAAGTACCATCATAGATTAAAAACTATTAATATACAATACTAATACAATTTCTATTTTAAAGTTTAATTTAAGATTTTTGGAAATTATTTAGCATTTCTTAAGTCTGAATCCTAATTTATAACTATTTACTTTCAAGTATTTTAACCAAAATTGTTAATCATCATATTGTACTTAAGCTTAACTGGCATTACCTTTAGGGAAAACACAGTAGTAAGGTGTCTTTCCCCATTCATTATCAGGCACATGGAATCGACCATCAGCTAAACGAACACCTCTGACAACGTTGTTCTCAGTGCGAAATTTTAGCCCACTAGCCCCCGGAAACTGGGCTGTTAACGTGGATAACAATAATGTACCATTGTCCTCAAGTGGAAGTTCAACTGCTTCACCATATTCTTCGTCAGACACTAACACATACTTGACAGACATGTCTCCAAAATCGCGTTCTGTATCCAATTTTAAACGGACTACCGATTCTTCGTTTACATAAAAGCTAATTTTTGACGCTCTATATTGTAATAACCGAGGTTAATGTTGATGTTATATTACTTTTATTGATCGACGGAATTGGTTTTTGTGACAACGTAAGTAAGATATTTACAAATGTTTGAAAACAGAACTTATAATAGCGACATAAGTCAATAATTATCACATATGACTTAAATGAAAATGTAACAATAAAATTCGGAAGCACGATTATGTACACAATTATTAATTAACATGGGTACCAAGACTGGAAGTCACGAAATTAACACAATCTAATATCCATACTCAACTCGTCCACTCCACTATTTCGCAGAAAAATTTAAATGTAAAAGATGACAAAAAGATTTTATGTATTATTATCTAATATCATATCATATATAATAGTTTTTTTTATATAGATTTTACATTAAATGTGATTAGTGAGTCTCTAACCAATCAAACCATTTTTCGAATCTTCGATGGTTAATGGTTACCTACTGATTAAACCACAGAACAGCTGTAATAATACATGATTAGCTTGGAAGCGACACTCACCCTTCCATCATATTTTTTTCATTTTAGAGCGACAAGAATGATGTTACAAACTTGACGATGAAGTATGATGCTAGAAACGCTTTTATCGTCAAAGTGGATGGCCGCAATTTAAAAAAAAAAAATCACGGCGGATATTGCCATAATATAATAAATAACTAAATTATTCTATGATTCTAACATTGACATAAAAACTTATTTATAAAGAATCCTATTTAAGGTAAGCGCCTGAAGCATAATTCTGTAGGCAATGTTGAATCCAGTTAATTTCTTTGAGGGCTTCATTTTTTTTTCATTAGTGAATGGTGATAAATTTTAGTATTATGAATTATATCCATTATTAGTTATTAAAATTTATTATTTAAACATTTTGGGAAAATCAGTAGATAGTACCTATACTGGTAATATGATTTAAAAACATTGATATAAATAAATTATATTTTATAAAACACCATTATGTGCAGTAATCGTAATGAGTATTGTGAATTGTACATTTAATAAATAGGTACATTTTTTTGAAAGTTGTATTTGTCAAGAGATGCGAAAAAAATGTCAGAAGAGGGCAAATGCCCCCCTCTGTAGTATACCTGGATTCAACACTGCTTGTAGGAGCGTAAATGTCAAAACTATATGTGTATAGTGTGTACATATTTTATGTTGAATAAAAGACTTGGATAGGTACTCAACTTCCAAGAGTAGTTTTTAGTTGCTAATTAGAACTAGTTGATATTTGAAAGTCAAAATTACAAATTCATAGAGCTTTTTAAAATACCTATTTTGCAAATACTTAAATCCTAATGTCAAATATTTACTTTGAAGTTTGAACACATCTGTAAAAAATTCCCCAATTAATATTTGTCAAACTTATTTATAAGATTGAGATTTTATTCTATTTTAACCAGAACCAACCAAAATTTGCAAAATCTTTGTACAAAAAATAAAATTTTTAAATATTGTAATGTATAATATGTTTTGATAATTTTATAAATTTTAAATAGGATTATTTCATAAGAACATAATCTATAAATTAAATAATGTAAAAATTTGTTGTTTTATTATTTCTTTAACTATTTTATATTTGCATTTAAATAAATAGTAACTCTCCACTTTCAACACAAACTTGGCTTATAAAAAGGTAGATAATTTATTGTGTATATTAATAACTACTGTGCATTAATGATTGAATATCTAAAAAAAAAAAAATACCATTAAATATTCATGAGTAAATATCTTAAAAAACATATTATTCATTTATTATTTTTATATATCTGTGACTACAGCCTAAATACATTCCCGTTTATGGCTTAGATAAAATTATAGTGATTTATATAGCTAAAAAAATGAAAATATATTTTTAAATGTAATATAATATTCTATTTTCATTGAGTCCCAAGGAGGCAAAAGAATAAATTTTTTGTTTAGTAATTACTAATTTAAGACCAACATGTTCCATAAAACTTTAAATTAAACGTACATTTATAACACCTAATAAAATCATTAGGTACTTAAATATAACTAGGATAAAACAAATATATTTTAAAGTGAATAAAATAGTTTTCCTGGATCGAAATTTTTTATAGTTTGCAACTGTACAACAAATTTTACAGCTATATACCTATATTTAAACAGATATTACTATAAAATATAATTAATTTATAAGTAAGCCAGGAATTTGTAGTATTTGCATATTTTTTTTTATTTATAGAACTCCAGAACGACTAGAACCAAGCTTATCAAAAACAAAATTCAATTCATGCATCACAAAATTCAAATATACAAAGTATTTTTGCATTTTCTTATGATAATCGTAAATAAAAGCATTTTTGGTACTTTTGTGTCATATGTCAGTTTTTTGGCATATATATCTGGTTGTTTTTGATAATTACATGCATAATCAACATTTTTAAAACATTTACGTACATATTTATCAATTTATAGTAAAATTACCTTAGATATATTTCATGTTTTCGTAGGTACCTATTAAAATGTTATTGCCTTATCAGTAAATATTTCCGAAAAGTGAAAGAACATTACATAAAGCTAACATATATTATTGAGTAAGCGTACAGGTTAATTTTCTATTTATAGTAAAATCAATTAATGCTTTTTCAATTATAATATAGGTACTCTCGTAAGCAAATACTTTTAAAATATCATTATTCATTATCAATGATGGTGTATCATCCACTTATTATTTGTATATGCTTATATTTAAGCTGAATCACTGAATCTATTTTATAACATGGTCAACTTTTTTTTATTTAAATATATTAATTTAAATCTGTATAGAATAAATACAAGGTACAATAAATAAATATAATATGGGAAAAAGTCAGGAAGCGTGAGTGGGAAAATCACTTATTTGCGGTACTCCAGCAGGCGCATGGTCGATCTTGTACATAAGTTTCAACTTAGCATACCTACATTAATTTTTCTCTTACATTAAAATTAAATAAATCGATTATAATTAGGTACATAATCATATTATTTTATATTATCGTACAATTTACTTATTTAATTTTGCAGAAACTGGAACCAATACCACTAGCTATCAGTTATATCTTTTAACGGGCATACGTAAACTGCGCCAAAATGACCTATTCTTTTGTAAACTGCACCTGAATTTTTATCTAAGTTAAAAAGGTGCAGAGTAAACTGCGCCCCACAACTTAAGCTATGCCCCGTTTGTAAAATATGCAAAACTTTTGACTTGTTAAAGTCTCTATGATTGTGTACTTTTTCAATTATATCACAGACATTTAATTTTCTGTAGTTATTTTATGTTCAATGTTACGGACGTTATGGTTTACCATTTTTAAGCACAGAAAGTGTATCTGAATATTTTGTGAATTATTTAATGAATTCAAAGCCTGACGACGAAAGAGTGACATAATTTGCAGATTATTTGGTGTAGATGTGTACACAAGTGAAGAAGAGAAGCTCAGTATCCATCTGAAGCGACTGAATTCTGAAGTATAGACTCAAGCATCAGCAGAATCAACTTTAACCACTAATGCATGCGAGTTTTTTCATTCTCACTTTAATTCTAGTTTTTATATAACCCATCAAAATATTTTATGTTCATAGAAAAGTTAAAAAAAATTAAAATAGAAACATATATATAACATATAATAGAAACTTAGTAGTATAAATGAACCCTTTAAATACCAAAATTAAAAAAAAAAAAAAACACGATTTTTCAAATTTTATCCCGGGAACAGTTTACATGTCATATTTTTACACTTGATAAAAACTCGGATGCAGTTTACATGAGTGATTTTGGGTTTATCTGTATTTTGGGCGCAGTTCACAATTGCCGCTTTTAACGTCCTTTGTTTTTAATATAGATTATAAATTATTTATCGAATATTAATTACTATTATTTGAATTTAAAATTAAAATTTGTATTTTACTCTAGACTCTAAAGTAATAATAAGATTAATAAAAAAAATTAAAAATGAACTTGGTTTATTGCGTAAGATAAGGGACAAAGGTGCGGACGTTAAGATATTACTATATTAGGTAGGTAAATAATTTACCCATACTAAGACATATAACACGTAGGTATTATTGTTTACTGGTACTTGGTAGTAAATCTATAAATGTACTTATTTATTTATCAGATCTAAATTTATGACTACTATCTTGAATCTACAGAAGTCAGCTACTATTAGCAGGGTTACGAGTGATGACGATGGTCAATGATAACCAATAATAATAATATAGATTGTTATTGTTGACTGTTGACTGCTGTTACTGATTTATTGTCTGTTGCTTGCTCAGATAACATACATATTTGTATTTTATCGTTGTTTATTTTTTATCACTGATTACTGAGTTTTGATTATTCATTAATAGTTTACATATTTTCAAAGTATTTACAAGTAATTATTATTAATTCGTTTGTCGAATCTACCGACTGCCTGCGTACAATTTACGATTATGTGATGCTGACTAGACTAATAATAATATAACCCAGTTAGGTAACATAGGCCACTGGAAAGTGGAAGTCGACCTCATTCAATTTTGATAATGTAAACGTGTTTACATAATGTTTCATATATAAGACGAAAACAATAATTAGAATTAATTGGTATACACATATTATCTTTCATCGTCATCACTGTATAGTGTATGATCACTAACACCGTTATCAACATTTCGACACGTTTAAATATTGTTGAGGAATCTAAGAAGATACGTGTTTCGCAATGTTTCCATAAACATTTCTATTCCCCCCCCCTCTATGTTGAACATTCAACAATTTCGTCATGTTATACCACAGAATAGATTTACAATACATTCACATTGAGTCTCTCCAAGATAAAACGTATTTTTTACTCTCATCCAAATGAAATCAAGACTTAAGTTTTTTTTTTTTTAAACACCAAATTTCAGTTTGTAAAATTTTAAACCATACGGCGTACACTGTGAAATTAACTATTTAAAATAATAATAATACAACTTTTTATTTTTATTCTCAAATTTTAAGTTAAAATGAAACTTAATGTCAACAAGGATCTGCAGAAAGAACGCGAAAAGTGTACATTTAACATTGAGGAACTAACAAATTTTTTGGACGGAGGTGCAAATAAAACATTAAATAGAAGAAAACTTGGTTTGTTGTTAATTAATTATTAAATACATAATTTTAACATAAAAAATTCTAATAAAAAAAAATTTTAGAATCTTTTTTTTTGTCCGATCCAAATTTGAAAGATGAAATTCCTATGGAATATCTAAGTCACAAAGAACGCTATGAAGCAGCTGTGCGTAAAAGTTGTATTTTATTCAAAAAAGTCAATGAGTGGCAACAAAATGATGATGGTAGCAATTCAATGGATGTT